GCATTCCCACGTTCCAGGCCAGACTGCCAAGAGAAAGCTTAACACCTCGATAGGGTTTCCTGTATGGTCCGGGATGACTGCACACATCCCCGCATGCTAGTGAGTGCCAGGGAGCACCAGAGCTGGAAGGCAGCCGAGGACCCATCTGGTTCCCCTGCCTTCAGGAAGTGTCTTTCTTTTCTCATTTGCAGGAAGGGGAAGGGCAGGCAGGAGGTCTCCCATCACCACCAAATGCAGAGCCATGCAGTTCTAACCCTCGCTGCTCCTCTGCTGAGCCGAGCCACATCCCATGCTGAAACCAAAGTTAGAGTCTTTAAATCAGGCCCACAAGCTGGAATACAGTGGAGATTCCCATTTTCCTTTGTCCCTCTTTGATCAAAGGGGAACTGATAAAAAGATATAGATACTTTCTCTCAGACATGCAGACCGAGTGGAAGGAGAAAGAAGTCAGAGCACTGTACCTCCTCTGGGGTCCAAGTCCGAGGCTGCAGTGACACACAAGGAAGGAAGCAGAGTCATTCTTGGAGCCTGGCAGGGCTGGTTCCGTTCGTTCTAACTAGACTGCTTTCCTAATCTCCAAGCGCTCCCATTCCAGGCCAGCCACCAACCCCTCAGAGGAGAGCGAGAGTAACAGGTAGGCTTCCCACGGTCCCGCAGATCCAGAATTGGCTGCCTCCACCAGAAGGATCCAGGCACTGCACAGAGCAGCAATGCTCAAAGGTGCAGGCGGAGGGGAGCAAGTTTGCCACTGCCCCACCCAGGCTATCCTCCCACTCACCCCTTGGTAACCCTTAGGCAAGAATGGACTTCCAGCGTTTCAGGATACCCAGGGCAGCCCAGGAACCGGAGCTGGCTGCACATTTGCCCCCTGCAAGCAGAGAACTCAGAAGGACAGACTGGGTCCCAGAGCGGATCTTGGGATCGCTGACCCCCTCACTACGCCAAGGGACAAAGTAGGGGTGCAGTAGCCCTGAAGACAATCCTCAACAGCTGGGGTGTACTGGGCGCGTCAACCCTAGGCGCTTGGGCACCAACCCTCTTCCCGGGACGCACACTCACCGCTCAGCAGGCGACCCTTCAAACCCCGCGGTTCTGCCAGCAGCACAGCCAGCAACACGGCCTGCAGCGCTGGTCCAGGCTGCATTGCTGGATTCCAGAGCGTTCCGACACCCTAGGGCTAAGGCAGAGAAGTGGGCAAACAGGCGGCTGCGTTCTGGCAACTGCCACCAAAGCAGCCGCATCTCCCATGGACCCACAGACCCCGCACTGGGAGGAGTCCGGGAGGGCGCAGAGTCCGTTAGTTGGTCGCCCCTCCGCCTCCTGGGACGTCACTGCGGCGAAGGCAGCCCCTTGGGCTGGCCCGCCCCCGACGGCCTGGTCTGGTGCTCCAGGCTCCAGGCTGGAGAAACTGCTAGCTCACTGGAGGGAGCAGGCAGCGGAAGGGGCCAGCTCTCCCGAGAGAGCCGCCCAGGGAGGTCCTGAGTTTGCCTAACTGAGAGGAACGTCCCACTCAACAGGAAGAGAGTGCAGTGTCTTCAAATAGTATCACCTCTTACTTTCATCACTACACCCAGTTCTTACCAAGTGGGCCAAAGTGACAAGACCCCTACTCCCACCTCCGTACGCTTCAGACTCAGGCTGCTCCTGGGACGAAAAGTCCGGGATGAGAGAGGAATGGATTCTGAGGCAGGCAGTGCATACTGACTAGGAGTGCTTCAGACAGAAGCTTCCACAAAAGGAGGTAGGGCAGGAGTTCTTAAGAGTCCTCCACCAGAAGCTGGAGTGTTTCCAGTCTCAGCCAGAAAGCCATTTGCTTTGCCCAGGACACATACTGAGAGGTGGGAGTGGTTTGTGGAGTTCAGCCTTTGGTGGACAGAAAGATAACTCCCCTAGGAAAGAATGATCCTACCCGCCCAAAGCTTCCATAACCAACCTAGCCTAAGTGGATGCTCCCCTTTAAATTCACAATGGTTGTATTTATATTTGTGTCTTATAGTAAACGGGTTTTCAAATAATCCGAACAATAGAGTCAGTCTCCTGTCAAAAAATAAAACAAAAAACCAAAGAAACAAAAAACTATGAACCAAGTAGGTAGCTCACAATCACCTGTAACTCCAATTCCAAGGGATCCCCTGCTCTCTTCTAACCCAAAGGGGCACCAGACTTACATGTGGTGTCCATTCATGCAGGAAACACACTCATAAAACAAAATAAAAAGGAAACTTTTAAAAAATGTAGCGGTGATGCTCCCACTGTCTTGTTCTAAGCAAACAGTAGCCAGGCAGGATCTGCAGCAGCTCTAGCTGAGATTGTAGCAGGAGCTCTTGTAGTTGCAGAAACAGCAGGGACAGGGCAGGACGAGCAGCCCTTCCCTTTGTTCTGGCAAAAATATCTCAAAGCTTACAACTGTTCTTGCTAGAACGTCTAGGTCACCCCAGCAAGACAACAGCTGTTGTGGTGCCGTGGCGCCGGATTGGTACCTGATGCTCTGCACCACTGGAATGCCACCTTTCCTCAGGGTCTGTGTGACCTTTGTCATTATCATTGTAGTTCTTGGAGTTTTGTGATAGTTTGTCAAAGATAATATGTATGTAAATGTGTAGTTACATCTGACTTAATGTCAGCTTAAATATTTTTTTCTAATATTACAAGATCTGCTTCAACTTATGAAATAACAACTTTGTTTCAAATAGTTAAATTGTGTCTTGAGTTCTCCCTATGATACTCTGACTTTGGTCCATATTGGGTTTGTTAGCATACACAGTAAACTGAGTGTAGAGACTTGCAGTAATGACCTCAATTCTTCACACCTCCCAGGATACATATCCTTTATCATGCTAGTGCAGTCCCCCTTGCTCAAAAGGCTGAATATGTTTCTCTCTGCCATGAGATCTGATTAATCCATAGAATAAACCAGAACTTTATGAGCCTACTTCAGAAAAGTCTTTTGTGTTCTATTCACTCTCTTGTATCTTATTTCTGAGAGGAGCAAGCCTCAGGTGTCCTACTGGTCCACGAGTGTCTCCAAGAGGTTGATATGTAGTGCAGGACTGCCTCAGTCCATCGGCAGACTTAGAGCGTGAGTGACAGAACTCCTTTAAGTGGCCTGAAAGCAGATCAGTCAGACCAGCAGTTGAATGCTATATGAGCAATAGCAAAAATTGCTTTAGAACTCTGTTCAGCAGTATTGTTGCAGTAATAACTGCTATACCTGGCAACGCAGGAATGTATCACTGTGGGAGGACTAGTTGCCAAGAAAACTCTCAATGTGTTGTAATTTTTCTTTCTTCTTCTTTTTTTTTCTTTTTGTTTTTTTGAGAACGGGCTTTTCTGTGTACCCCTGGCTGTCCTGGAACGCACTCTGTAGACAAGTCTGGTTTTGAATGCACAGAGATCTGCCTGCCTTTGCCTCCCAAGTGCTGGGAATAAAGGCATGTGCCACCACTGCATGACAGACAATGTGTAATTTTTCTTGGTAAAATTTCTTTGACCCAAGATCCATTCCTCAACTTGATGAGCTCAAAGTGGAGACCACCAATTAAAATGCTTGGGCTAAGAGTGTTTTACGTTTTGGAATGTTCACACACACACACACACACACACACACACACACACACACACACATTTTGGTGATAGTACACAATATCAAAGGCAAACTCATTTCCTATACATCTTCTGTACATAGTCTGAAGATAATGTTATGCAATGTAATATCTCTGGTTTTTTGTATGTGTGGTGTATCTCTGCACATGTGTGTGAAAGTGTGTACTTATGCACGAATGTATGGAGGCCAGACGCTGACACTGGGTGCCATTTTGCACTTAGTTTACACTCCGTACTCACCAACTGCCTAGACTAGTAGGCCAGTGAGAGATGCGCCACCCCTCCAGACCCTCCAGTCCCTGCCGCCAAGTCCGGCATTACCAGGGCTGGGAATCCAAACAGCTTCTCATGCTTGTGTGAAGAGCTCGCATAGCCACCGAGCCATCTCCTCAGCACCTTCTGCTGTACTTTTAGTGTCCATATGAGGCCAGGTACAGAACTTTCTCTTTGTGCTGTCATGCCAGTACTCAAAAACATTTGGATTTTGGGTCCACCACCTCTTTCTGATTTCTGGTTTTTGGATGATGGCTGCTTAACCTATAATATGTTTATATATTGAGAATTATAAACCTAGAGTAAACCAATGCTTGGCCTGTGAAGCGTATTGTCTTCCTTTAGACAAGGAAATAACCCCATGGACACTGAATCAGACCAAAGGTTTATTAGTTACATGATCTTAAACTTTAGACTGTGACAATCTTCTCTGTCAGTCTTCACGAGAGCCACCTGTCTGATAAATACTTCAGCATGACAGGATACCTTTGCTTTTCGACAGTGCTGAGGGGCAAATCCTTAATCTTCTGTTTCCAATATATACCAAAGGGAGTAGGCTTTGAGTGAGGTGGATTAGCAGTAGGGTTAAGTATAAGATAGCGGCTCAGGCCTGGTTTCAGGCCTGTTCTAGAAATAGAATAAGCCACACTTTAGGAAAGGGATTTTTTGTTTTGTTTTTTTTTTTTTTTTTGCTTTTCAAAACAGGGTTTCTCTGTAGCATTGGGGCATGTCCTGGAACTCGCTCTGTTGACCAGGTTGGCCTTGAACTCACAGGGATCCGCCTGCTTCTGCCTCCCGAGTGCTGGGATTAAAGATGTGCACCACCACCGCCTGACTGGGAAATGAATATTTTTAAGAGAAGTCTTTAGGTTTTTAAGAATGCCTTTTCATCCTTGCTTTATTATTTTGCTTATAGTAGACTTGGGGGACATATAGAGCCCCTTATTCTTGTTTATTGAGTATTCATAATACAAATAAAATATATACATTCTACAAGTACCCTTCAAACAAAACAAAAAACAGGAGTTTGGGATGTGTCAGATGACAAAGGTGATTATAGTATGACGTCAAACAAATAAATAAAATAGACACAAATGTTCAATGACTGACAAAACCCACCTGTCTACATTCTTAACTTTTATTTTAGTATATTATAACATGAATACTCAGTAATTGTCAAATTCCTGGAAATCTGCACACTTTTTACTTGGTGATCCTGATGTAAGCATAACTTGCTTCAAAGGTGAATACATGTCAGTCACCTGCTATAATATGTCAATCAAATCATTGCAAGGCTTTGACTTCTTCTTGGTCCTGTTTGTCTGACTCTGATGAGACTTTCCTGTAGGCAACAGAAAGAGTCAGTCCCTATATAGTAACATCAGTCATTGTGATCACGATGTAGTAGGGAAATGACTTTTGGAAACGTCCCCAGTAGGCAGCATTGTGGATTCTGAATGTGTATTAAGGTTTGTGACCAAGTATGAAGCAGATGTGAGAGAAATGTTATCTTACTGAGAAGTGTGCTGTGAAGGACGCCATGGCCTCCTACCCTAACTGACTCAGTCCCCCTTGAAAATGCAAATATTACTGGGGCAAATGCTAAGTGTATCACTTTTAAAGCATCGCCATGAATTTACTTTCTGCTGGAAAGGGCACAGGTTATCCTGAGAAGGTCTATTGAGGAAGAATATAGCCTGCATCACTGTGTACAGGAACTTGAAGCTGAGTGGATAAGATGGAGGAAAAATTATTTAAAAATTTAAGACATGTTTGTATAAGTTAGTGTACAGTATAGAGGCATCAATTTCCAAATTAGCTAATGCTTAATAATATGGTATTTCAGATTTTTAAGACAAATATATTCTGAATCCCAAGACTGACTTAAGTTGGGTGATCCAGTTTCTCAGGGAACCTATAATATATTTATAAGCAAGGCATAAAATTATGTGAACTATTAAGTAACTTAAGAGTAGTGAGCTAACTAATTATAAAATATGGACACATAGTAGTGTGTAATTGCCAAAAGGATGACCTTTAAGTGCAGAGGAAGATGTCACTGTGAAATGGAAATCTCAAGCTTTGGGATTAAGGAGAGAATATATTACTAAAGAAATTAAGCAAGAACTTAAAATTTAAAATTATCATTTTAACCTTGACCCTGAATCACAGCAATGGAATAATCTACACAGCAGATGGCTAGGCCTATGATAATGGGACTGTCGGCATTCACTTCTAGAGGGAAGGGGGGGTCACAAGACCCTCAGGAGACCCTTACAAAAACCTCTCTGGGGGTCCATATGATACTTCCTCGTGCCCAAATGTTAAATTCTGTAAGAGGTATAAAACTTTTTCAGGGTGGGACTTAATTTTCGTCGGTATAGCTGCTTCTGAATCATCCCTGCTCTAGTAAATGATCCCACTAAACTCATTTATTCACTAAAAATTATGCTAAAGTTGTAAAATAATGCACTTGTGTATGCAAATAAACAAGGGCAGTAACACAATATTCTGTAAAAATGCAGCATAGTCTAAGGCACCCAGACATCTCTGTGCCATTCATGTAGCGGCCTCCGTCCACCGTCTGGGCCAGTTAAGTCTCTCCTTTAGGCTGCCTTCCTACCCTCGCAGGCAGTAAGTCAGATCATCTTGCTTGAAAGTAAGAAACTAAGATGTGAGGCATAATGTAGAAAAGATAGACAGGTAATTAGTGATTTTTTTTTAAAAAAATCTATGCAGACAGAATCATTCTTTCTTAAGGCTATTTGACGGCAATCCTAACATTATTCTGCCGCCTACAGGCTGGTGTAGCCACCTTACTGGTGGGATCAGAGCTGGTTATAAGATCTGAGGATGCACTAAAGATGGCAGGCTGGTCATGGGGAGGTGGAGCTGGGAGGGCACGAAGACAGGCGAGAAGGGACAGTGAGGCACACAGACACTCCAGTACCTTCTCTCCACTTTGCACTCACACATGTGTGCACATCCCGCAGATCTACGCAGGCTTGAGCACAGTTACAAGTATGTTTATTTAAGGCAAGAAACCTCAACATAGTGGTGTAGGGTTTTTAGATTTGTTGGTAGGTGACAAATAAAAATGTTCTTTAAAGACAGTAAATAAAAAGATGAGGATTTTTGGAAGTGAACTTACTTTGCTTCAAGTACTTTGGTCTTAGGTTTATAAGGTAATGAAATCAGCTCTTTCTAGAAAAAATAAAAAGGGAAAATGCTTACCACCAGGTCTCCTTAGCCTTATTCCCCAGGGATAGGTGAGTACGCTATCCGCCCATTCTGCAGCCCCACTATGCAGGGCAATCAGATCAGCAGCCCCACAATGCAGGACAATCAGACATGGTAGGGAGTCAAGTCAAAGCAGGAACTCAGTTTATATCTGTTAGCGTCAGCTTATATAGGTTAAGTGACATCCTGTGATGTGGGGGTACCTCCAGCCAATGAGAGACAGCTAAGCCCTCTCTTTGGCTGGAAGGGCTTCTACCTAGATTTTGCTGTCTCATCCTTGGTAGCTTTGAGACTATCCCTCAAACTCAAGCCAGACTTTTCTCTGTTCCACAGGCCTCGAGGTACAGGTCCTGAGATATTCTTGGCCCAACACTTACTTCCTCTGTCTGAAATGTATTCAACTTGAAAACTGTCTAAGGTAAAAATCTTCACAGAGTCTAGAAAGACAAGCTTCTTACATCTGAAAACTATTGAGTTGAAGATGTTCTGATTACAGAATTTGAGGCCATTGAGAAGTTCGTGTTTGAATATCCCTATATTTCTAGTGAGTTATTTTTTTAAATAAAAGTTTTAATCACTTAAGTTTTTCATGGTCTACAAAGATCAATCATTGTAAAGTCATTAGCAATGAAGTAGTCGATATTAACAGTCTACAACTTTATAATATGTGAGCAATAGATGCGAAAGGAGACTGCGTGCACGTTTCCTGACTGTCCAGACCCAAATAATCACATAGAAACTATACTAATTGCAACTCTGTTTGACCAATGACTTAGGCATATTCCCAGCTAGCTCTTATATCTTAAATTACCCATTTCTATTAATCTATGTGTCACCACGAGGCTGTAGCCTACTGGAAAGGTTCCATCGTCTTTCTCCTTCGGCAACTACATGGTGTTTCCCTGACTCCACCTTCTTTCTCCCTGCATTCAGTTTAGTTTTTCCTGCCTAGCTCTCTATTCTGCCCTGCCATAGGCCAAAGCAGCTTCTTTATTTACAATGGTAATAAAACATATTCATAGCATACAGAGGGGAAATCCCACATCAAATAGACTCCCTGGCCTATACACCTCATTTCTTCTGCCATCAGAGTTACAAATTTTGGAGCTGTCTCTGGTTTATGGGTTGTCCAGTTACTTAATCTCTGTTTTCCCAGTCTTTGTTGTATAGAAGACTCAAGACACGGTAGTATAGATTTAAAGGGTCAGAAGAACCTCTGAACATTTACCACAGATCATGCATGCCTTCAGTCAGCTATCCAGTGCCCCACCACCGCTCTTACCAAAATTCTCTCTTCTCTTTGTTTCCTTAAGAGTTGGAGGATCTCATCTCTCTTTTTGGCCTATTTGAAGAAGAAGAAGAAGAAGAAAAAAGAGTGAGCCTTTTGTCACAATAGTAAAGCCTGTATTTGTGGAAGGTGAAATTTCTGCTTTTCTTCTGGCTAAAGGAATGCTAAAATGTGTTTTCCACAACAGATCTATACAGAATAATTTGGTTTTGATTTTAAATATACAGGTTTTGCTCAGAACAACTAACTTCTATTTAGACCTTATCATATGAGCTAGCCTAAGATCTTAAAATACTTTATTATGATTTTAACAATTCAGAAATTTGACATTTTCTCTTTCATTTGACAGGTGGGGGAAACTAGGGCAGAGTTAGGTTAAACAATTTACTCTAGCAATTCAATGACAGATCTGATGACAAAATCTTAGCTATTGGCCACGGAAGGAAAGTTACCCTAAATGGCAGGTAGATATAAGATCAGTAAACCCAGATATCACATCTCACCCGAGCTCACAACAAAAGAATACTGGCCTTAGAACTAGTATTCAATAACAAAGCTTTCCCTGTATCTCTCCCTTTTCTTTCTTGGCTATCAAATTTCATATAGTAGGTGAGTTTTCATAAGCATAAAACTTAATTTATCACAGGCATGAAGATATATCAATATATAACTAAAGAGCAGGCAAACTCGGGGAAAAGGACATTCTGTTTAGTACAAGGCTAGACGAAAGAAATACAAAGTGAGAATAAACACATTTTTTTAGAGATGGGAAAATCCCAAATCAATCTGTCCATCCAAATGTATTACGCACTGCGCTTGGGCTTCTATTTCACAGTAACACACATTTTTTTTTAAACAACACCTTTTCTTGCAGTTTTGGAGGCGAGTTGTCCAGATCCAAGGAGTATGCAAGGCCATGCTTCCTCTGAAATTGACTGCTGGGCCACTTCCTATGGTCTAGTGGTCTGCTGGCTGTCTATGCTTTTCCTTGGCTTATAGAAGTTGAGTCTCTGCCTTTGCTGTCACGTGACGTTCTTCTTTATGTCTCACAGTCACATTTGGGGAGGGAGTTGTGCTTATTTTTTATTATTACAATATTCTACTTACAAAAAAATTAATCATAAAATAGTATATCCTATTGTGGAAGAAGCAGCCTCAAAAAGTCTTGTTTGCTATGCCCATCTTAAAGCTTTTATTAGCACACTGCAGTGGCATTTCATTTGTATTTCAATACATAGAGCTTGCCTGAGGATCAGAAAAGTACAACAGCTGCGCTGGCCAGCCTTACAGATGAGGCAGCAATGACACACACCTTTAATCCCAGTAGCCACACTATTTTGCCATAGAAACCAGATGGTTGTGGTGCACACTCTTAATCCTAGAACTAGAGAGGAATATAAAATAGAAGGAGACAGCTGTTAGTCTCAGTCTCATTCTGAGATTACCTGGAAGCAGGATCACCATTTTCAGACTGAGGTCGAGGTAAGAGCCAGTGGCTGGCTGCTTTGCCTTTCTGGTCTTCAGGTTGAACCCCAATATCTGTCTCTTGAGATTTTATTAATTGGTATACAGCATACATTAACTATATATAGTAGAGTTTCTTTATGACATTTTAATATTTGTATATAGTGTATTTTGATCACATTCACCCCATATTACTGTCTCTTATCCCTCTTTCCATACCCACTGATCTCCTTTCTTTCCTTAGCTAGTTAAGGTCACCTTCTTCTGATGACTTGTCACCCTATTCCAGTGTGATTCCATCTTAACTAATTTCATCCGTATCAACTGTATCTCCAAATCATTTTTTAAAAGTAGTAGTTTGTTTTAATTCATAATAAGCACTTAGGCTATCACATTGCCATGTTAGTGGCTGAACAAGAATAATTTCTGCCTGGAAAAAGTTTTTCTTCTTATGGAGAAAGACTCAAGTGAGTTTTCTAATTTCTAATGCTCCATGATGGGTTTAGTCGAGCATACAGGACAGAACTGAGATCAAGAACCTTCATTCACACGAGGGTGTGTGTGTAGGGAATGGGATTCAGAGATTAGAGAGGGTGAGTCCCCTGTGGAGACAAGTAAGACAGGGAAAGCTTGAGGCAGAGGAAGCTGCACATTGCTAATTCCTCAGGCTTATTATTCTTCAGTCTCTGTGACTCGGCTGAGGAAGACAGCGACACCAGGATCTCTGCCACAGAGGGAAGACTCGTGATTGTCAGCTGTTACCAGCAGTCGGGTCAGTTCTACTAGGTGCTTTGGATTTGTATTAAAAATTGTATGAATTTGTTTTTTATTCTTTTTTAAAATTGTTTTTATTGAGCTATATATTTTTTCTCTGCTCCCCTCCCTTCCTTTCCCCTCTCCTTCTACCCTCTCCCATGGTCCCCATGCTCCCAATTTACTCAGGAGATATTGACTTTTTCTACTTCCCATGTAGATTAGATCCATGTATGTCTCTCTTAGGGTACTCATTGTTGTTTAGGTTCTCTGGGATTGTGAATTGTAGGCTTGTTTTTCTTTGCTTTGTGTCTAAAAGCCACTTATGAGTGAGTACATGTTATATTTGTCTTTCTGGGTCTAGGTTACTTCACTCAATATAATGTTTCCTAGCTCCATCCATTAGCCCACAAGTTTCAAGATGTCATTTTTTTTCCCGCTGTCTAATTTTACTCCATTGTGTAAATGTACCACATTTTCCTTATCCATTCTTAGGTCAAGGGGCATTTAGGTTGTTTCCAGGTTCTGGCTATGTTAAACAATGCTGCTATGAACATAGTTGAGCACATGTCCTTGTGGTACAATTGAGCATCCTTTGGGTATATACCCAAAACTGGTATTGCTGGATCTTGAGGAAGATTGTTTCCTAATTTTCTGAGAAACCGCCATATTGATATCCAAAGGGGTTGTACCAGCTTGCACTCCCACCAGCAATGCAGAAGTGTTCCCTTTGCCCCACACCCTCTCCAGCATAAACTGTCATCAGTGTTTTTGATTTTGGTCATCCTTACATGTGTAAGATGGAATCTCAGAGTTGTTTTGATTTGCATTTCTATGATGGCTAAGGATGTTAAGCATTTCCTTAAGTGTCTTATTGTTGCGAAACTCTTTTTTGAGGCAGTGTCTCAGCATTTAGCCCTGGCCATCCTGGAGCTCTCTGTGTGGTTCAGGCTGGCCTTGAACTCATAGCTGCCTACCCTAGCTTCCTGAGTGCCACGATTAAAAGTATGCATCATCATTCCCAGCCCAAATTTTGCCTCATGAACCTACAAAATTTAAGTATTTTGGAAGAAGGTTTGTACTTTATATCTAGCATTTAGGACCATCTATGTCATAGTGAATATACAAAAAAGCATGAACTCTTGTAACCAAACTTTCGTATGACCTATCAACTGTTACGGGTTCAATAAAGCAGTGTCTGCCAGTACAGACCTGGGATGCTGCCATTGCACAGGTTCTGTGTTGGTTTCTTCAGCTCTTCCATGACGTGTGTCCTCGGTTGGAATGAAGCACTCCCATATTGTGATGACATGCATGCTCTATCTTTCTCCACTGCTCTTCTCTCTCTCTTAGTGGCTTCGTGTCTCTTTTAGAACCTTACCATCGTTTCCTTTAGAGCTCAGAGATGCCTAGAATGTGATTTTAATGTGTTTCTATTGACTCAAATTACTTGAATCGTGGTTGTATGAATAGAATCATTGTATTGTATTGTGTAACATAAGCAGTAGACAGTGTAGTCCTCATTGTTTTAGAAAATGAAATTAAAAATTAATTTAGTTATAAAAATTCTCTAGAATCAAAATTTTATAATTCTTTTTTGTGTAACTCTTGGCACATGATAGGAAATTAAATTGCCACAAGCTTCTAGTATAAAAAGATAAATATTAACAAGATTAAAAAAATAACAGGAAAAATAATATTCATTTTTTTCCTTGGATTTCAGGTCTTTTTTTTTTAAATCAGAATAGATTTTAGTAGCTACAACCCCAGACACAAAGATTTCAAATGGGATTTGATTTCTGCTTCCTGGACATGTTTCCTGGGAATGAATAACAAAACTACTGTAAACAACTGTGTCCTCTGAACAAAATGTTGTGAACTATTCTAGGAAATTTCTTCCAGGAAAGCTAAATGCAATTCAGTGGTGAGAAGAAATTCTTGTAATTCACATCATGAGTAGTTCATTTTCAACCATGTTTTGGATGAATTATTTATTAGAAGTTAATATTTATAAAACATTTTGATAATTTAATTAGCCCCTAAAACAATACTATAAGGGGATCATAATTAACATTTAAAACATTAACTTTTGATAATTTATTTATACTTTATTTTTATTATTTATATTCAAGCTCTTTCTGAAAAAATTGGAAATAAAAGTTGAGTACATGAAATTAGAATATGACAATACTATATATAAGTTTAGTGCGCATTGGATGATTAATAAATTTTTGAATCACTCTGGAGGTAAAACATTTAGTTCTCATTTCTTGGTTTTTCAAAGCCAGACAACTTAAGTGGCAGCATGGGTTAATGAGGTCGGGTATGTTGGGCTTGGGTCCCAGTTTTACATTGAGGGTAATGACTGTAGTTTAGCTCACTCCTCTTCTCCCTGCAGTTGTAATCACTAGCATGGCTTAGAAGTTTGTGGTCTTGGGTAAACAAAAGAGCACATTCCTGAATCTTCTTTCTCTTCTGCAGGGAAAACTGTGAAAACTGGAGATGATAAAAGTGCTTATAACATAGTGAATGGCAAATGGTGGCTGCTTAATAAGTTATAACTATTAAACATTATTTTTATGAGAGGAGACATTCTTCTAATCCCTTCAAATGTTGGAAAGAATGGGAGGAAGAGTAGAGCAGAGAAGGCCTGACCACATTTCACTGAGTAATTTCTAGGCCTCAGGCCTTGTGTGAATTTAGCCTCACAACACTTGCTGTTTCTTACACAGAAAAGTAGACATCCTCTCTCAGGGGCACTAAACCAAGCAGTAACTGACAAACCAGGATTTGAACTCGCTCCAGTTCTCGTGAACACCACACTCCATGTGTTTGTT